TAAGTAATAAAGTTCAACATCTTAATCGTTTGGGGGGAAATTAAGGTACATATATGCCTCACTATAATGAAGCTTTCACCCGTGAGAATAGGCAAATGAATGTGTAATGAAAAATCATATTATGAAATATATTTTCTCTATTGTTCAATTTATAATTCTGAAAGGCCAACAATAATTTCATTAAAAAAAATACATGTTTTTTCGTAATCGGAAAGTTGCTTGCTTCCAACAGATCTGTGATAAATTTAGAACAGTGGGCTTTTTTATTATTATTTTTTAAAACTATTTTAAAAATTATATTTAATCTCTAAACTAAACTATACATCTACGTTATGCACTCTATAAAAATTATATAAAATATATTTCTTAACAATTATATTATATGGATATCCGTTTATTATATAAAAAAACATCTTATGTTTCGTGTACTAATAAGAATGATATTTGTATATATAAAAATCAGAACATTCAATTTGATAAAAAAATAAGAAAATCCGAAGTTTTCTCCCTCTATCAAATCTCGAGGTCCTTTTCAACAAAATAAGATTTTCAAATTCTGAATTGTTCAAATAATTTAATATTCTAAATTTAACATAAACCCTAAATATGTAAATAAGGAGATGAAAGCTAATAAATCTGAAAAACAAAGTGAGGGTTTTTTTTTTCTAGGATTGTAGTTAGTATTTTAGCAAGCCTATATCTGCAACAAATTTTCCGAAAATAATATATAGGTGTCTACATTTGCAATGTTAACCCTTCAATTATTTTTTTCTTAAGAAATTTCATGATATGGCCAAGTTGTGGATTCTAGCTGTATTTGCAGTGAGTTTTTGTCGCCTTTTAGCAACTAAGATAATAAACTTTCCTACACTCTAATTCAGTTTAACTCATTTCTCTACTTTGTACAAAATAGTTTAAAAATAATGAACATATTATTATTAATGGAACTCTCATCGTTTCAATATTTTGCAATTTATACAAAATATATGATAAGTTGTTGTCGTATGTATTTTAAAACAGTAATTTTTAATCAAATTATCATTATAAAGTACATATAACTAATGATAATGTAAGAAGCTAGAATATAGACTATTAGAATATATATGTATTAAAATAATGAGATCGGATATTTTATTATAAAATAATCTTATAATTTAAAAAAAAATTTAAAGCTCGTCTTATTATTTAAAATACATTTCATCTTTCTAAAACATTATCATCTTAGTTTCCTCTTACTACTTTCTAACTTTTCTCACTCTTGGGTCATTTGTTCAACGATCAGGAAGTGTCTAGGCGATCCTTGCGTTACCAATCTGACTAATCAATTGGTTGAGTTGAGCAAGTAAGCGGTAAACCCTTTTTCTTAATAGCTAGGGTTCTTGATTGTGTAAAACAGTTCTGTTTTGCATGAATCAAGAGTTCATCTTCCTTGATTCTTAGTGTGTTTGTGATTCTAAGGTTGGTCTTCAATCACCAATCAGTGATTTGTAGGTTTTCTAAAAGTTCCTTGTACCACAAGCAATCAGCAGAGCGTTTAGAGATTCTGAGCTGTTGAGTTGAGGTAAGGGAAGTTAGATTATTAATTTAATTAGTGATTTAATATGTATGTGTGATGAGTCTATGTGCATTGTGTTGACTGAACTAAATTTAGGTTTTTAGATGTATCATATGCAATTTGACTGTTTGAGTGTACCTTGATGAAATCTGATTACCAACTATATGAGATAATATTTGATTTTTTATTGGTTGTATGAAATGTTAGAAATTTGTGATAATGTTAGTTGGTTATGAATAGAGTCACATTGTCATGGTTTAAGGATAGTTTTGAGGAAGTGGAGTAGTGAAAAATGTGAATTAGGGATAGATTCTCAATTGGTCTTTGGGGATAGCTTTGGTAAGTCAAATGGGACTTGCTTGAGTCTTTAAGTTGCTTAAAAATGTGCCAAAAGTGGTAGAATTCAAATTGGAATCATAAGTTGAGGTTTTGTAGATTTTGAAGTGGGATGTGGTTAGGAAACACTTTAGAATGATGTTAGTAAGGTTTAGAAACATTTGTCCAAGTCTAATTAAGTCCACAATAAAATCTAGGAGGATTAGAAGTTGGGGAAAGTATTTCAAATTTGTAAGTTCTAGTGTAGGATCATAATTTTACAGTTTTGTGCTACAAAATTATGCAGACTCGTTGAGCGAGTGAGGTCGCTCAACGAGTGATCGTAGAGTCTAACACATTGTCCTAGTATTCGCACAGCGAGCAGGGTCGCTGAGCGAGTGGGTGAGGTCTGAGAGCACTGTGAGTTTTATTCGCTCAGCGAGCTGGGTCGCTGAGCGAGTGCTTGGAGGGTCTGGACCATTGTTTAGAGGATTCGCCTAGCGAGTCGAGTCGTTGAGCGAGAGGTTGGGGTCTGGTACCACTGGGAGTTTTATTCGATCAGCGAACTGGGTCACTGATCGAGTGACTTGGAGTCTGGAGGTACTGTCTGGAGGTTTCGCACAGCGAGCAAGTCGCTGAGCGAGAGAACTTTGGGGTCGCTCAATGAGGGGGTCGTTGAGCAACTGGTAATGGTTGTGATGCATTTTTTTTTCTTCTTTGTTCTTGATGGATTTGAGATATGTATTGATTTAATTGTGAATGATGTATGATTGTGTATGAGTTTATATGAGTATCAAAGTAAAGGTATGTGGTTTCAAAGTGGTGAAAGCAAGTTTCAAAGTGAAATCTCTCGTTGAGATTCAAGTATGTTTAGAATGATTGCAGGAAGCTCAGTCTTGAGGGTTATCCTGAACTCCAATGGTCTTTCATTCTCATGTAGAGATGATTGACACGTGTGGTGAGGAGTAGCAGGAGGTCTTAGTTTGGGGGCTTCCAGTATGCCTCAAGGCCCGAAACAGATTAACCTTGTAAGTGTGGTAGGGTGAAACTCGTTAGCAATGTCTTTGCAAAGCAGTAGAGGTTACCACAAGTGTACAACTCGCCATAACTCGACAATCATTATAAGTCCGGACAATCAAGTCTAAGTCATAACATGTTTACACTACAAGAAATATTGGAATTATATACGGACTATTATATACGGATATAAATCCGTATATAATTTAAATATTTTATACGGATATTATATACGGATTCTAAAAAAAATTACATACGGATTTTCCGTATATAAATTCCATACATAAAGTTGACGTGTGACAACGGGGAAATTTCATAAGGATATATCCCGATGTAATTTCCATTAACCGTATATAAGTAGAATGAAGTATATTATATACGGATTTCAAAAATAATTTAAAAAAAATGTATTTTTGATTAATTAGAAGCTGAAACCTATCATTCACTCTTTGCTATCCCTCTCGAACCGTCGAGCTACTCTCTCTGAAAACCTCGAGCTATCTCTCTCCTCTAACCCTCGAGTCCTTTCTCTCTCGAACCCTGGAGCTCTCGCCGTCCCTCTCTCGAGCCGCCTTCGCTCTCCTTGTCCCTCTCTCCAGCCCTCTTCACAGTCCATGTCCGTCATGCTCTACTTCTGTGTCCTCTCTCTCTGTCGAAGTGTCCGTCGTGTTCTGGCGTTCACCAAGCAATCTCCTTGTTCGTTGGGTGTCGTAGTTGGACGCTGAAGGAGTATCTTCATATGGTAAGTAAACCCTAATCCTAATGCTTAGTAATCGATGAAATCGTTAATCGCGAACCCTAATCTTTTTCATTTTTTGTTTTATTTGACACATTTGTGGTTGGTCTCGCAAGCCGTGGTTGGAGTGTTAGGAAGCATCGATTGAGGCTAGTGTTTGGCGGTTTAAGAAGATTGTCAGTGGTATGTAGGACTGAGACATATACCATTCCCCTTTATGAAGGCCCTTAGTGAAGGAACCAAAGGTGAGTGAGTTCCTTTGCCTTTTGAAGTTTCTTAGATGCAGAAAAAATTGTTTGTACTGTGTTCTTTTGCTTCATTTGCTTAATAATATGTTGTTATGGGTTTGGCTTCTTTTGCCAGATTTAGATCCATCGTGGTGATATAACCGCCTTTGGTTATTTGCCTGTATAGAGAAATTGAATGCTTTTCTAATGTTTATGACGCAATGCGTTTGTGATTAATGAGTGTATTAATTTTTTTTTATAATAAAAATTATATGCTTTGGCCTGCAATGGATTGTGTAGTTCGCTGTTGATGGGGATCCGTTAATTACTCAGTTTGATTCTTTGTGATGCGTGTGCATGAGGTGTCATATGTGTTAAGATGTTGATGGGCAGGACTGTGGTCAAGATATTTCCAGTGCTTTGTTAAATATTTCTAGTGCCTATGGTTGTCATGAATCCTGTATAATATCTTTGCCCAACATTATTTTTGGCATGTGTCAATGGGGCTTATAACTTGGAGAGAGTTCTAGAGCAATTGGAACACAATTTGTTACTCGTAAAAGGATGTCCCAAGTAGGTCCAAACCCAATATCTCAAACACTACCGTGCTCAAAGCGATCATCTTTGACCATGCCCATAATCATCTTGCTCAGGTGAACCATTCAGCTATTATCGGACTCTTATATTGAGATTATTTCTTAATGCCATTAGATTAAGTACATGATGAATGGATTTGCACCTATACCTGGGAAATGTCTTCTCGCCGTTGATCAATCTTTTTCATTTTTCTTTGTAATGGAGGTTTCTTTTTGTCATGTTAATACAGGATTTGATCACAAATAATGAAAGGCATTAGAGGAGCCATTTGTGGATGAAGAGGATAATTATAGCGGTGTTGCATGTTTGAATGTGATAGCAAAACGAATTGTTACAGTTTTTGCTTCTTTAAGAGGATAATTAAAGCAGTAATACTAGGATTTGACATCCTCTTTTCTAATTCTCAATGTTGTTTTTTTTCTTTTGGAATGATGGAATTTTGACAATGAAGTTTCAATTTCCCCTGGATCCAAATATTTTCTTTTGGAATGATGGAATTTTGACAATGAATTTTGACAATGAAGTTTCAATTTCCCCTGTATCCAAATGTTGATTTCCTTTAGAAAAAGTAACATAACAAAAGCCTTTAAGGATTATATTTTATAGGTATGTATTTATAATGTATGTTAATTATGATGCAGGGGCTAGTTTTTTAAACATTATAGTTTGTTCTGTCATCCAACATGATTTGAGTTTTATCTCTGCAGTCATGTCGGTATCCAGGTGGAAGATAATATATCTATTCTATGCTTAGATTTATGATGAATGGTATGAGTAAAGATATCCTTGATTTCTTCTATTTGTTTTTAGAGGCGGCTTGGTTTCTACTATTTAACCATTTAACATATTTAGATTACTTAGTGTGTTTATAAAGAAATTTACTTATTGTGTTTCAGTTCAATCATTTCTATAAGAATAAGAATCAATTAAAAAGAAAAAAGGCTTTATCATTTTTCTGTTAACTGTTCTAACTATATAGTATTTATAATTTGTCTATTAATGCAGGTGCTTCATGCTACAATGATGAAGCGGTTTGAGATTGCAGAGCTGGTGGAGAATTTGAATGCATCAAATAGTCAAGTAAATTTCTTTTTGGTAATATTTTACATTCTAACATTTTATATGTACCAATATTTTACCCTCCACTTAATACTTTTTTATATATAAGCTTTTCTCAGCTTTGCAATCAATATTATCTACACATTTATATTGTAATTAATTTATTAATTTGATTTATGTTACTGGTTTGATTTTGAACCCAGTAAGTTATACATATTATACTATTTGCCAAAGAAATTAATTTTAATGTTTGAATACTAAATTAGAAATTAATGTGATTAAATAATTGATTAATTATTGATCAAATGTTATTACATTATTTGTTAGCTCTAAAAATATAAATAATGTGAAGATGCAATATTAGAAAATATTTTAGTTATGACAAAAGCTTTGGACTTAGTCAAAGTTGTTTTGATTTTGATTATGGTGAAGAAAGTCCGTATAGTTGATTTGTCTATGCAGACCTACATAATTATCATACTATAATATTACAAATCGTTTTCTTATATATTAGTAGTAAATGTTCAAATTTTACTTTATTACGTTCACTAAAAAAACTTACAGATTGTATGACTTTTTGTTTTTAGATTGGCAGTTTGATGTATCAGCCTCGACATCTTCGTTGCCTCCTATTAGTGGTGGTGATATTTACACGGTGAGATAGACTCACTAAAAGAACTTTTCAGAACTTATACCACTGAATCGACTCACCGAGGCTTTGGAGAAGTTTATATCTCATCTATATCATCTATTGGTTTTTTTGCAGAAGTCAAGGAAGTCTTGGTTTCAATTTCAGTCTTCTTAGAAGCACTTCTTTCAGTAATTCTTTTCTGCATCTGAATCATCATATCCTCCTTTCTCTTTCTATTTTCCTCCTTCTACAACATACCAAGGTAAGTTGAACTATAAAGGCAATGATTTTAGTTTATAATCATTATTTGTCAATGGAATTTGAGATCACGTCTATAATCATTATTCATAAATGATATTGGATTGGTTTTAGGCTTGTTAGTTATCTTGTAAGTTCATAATGAACTGTCATCATTATATTATGATGGATGCAAATCATTACCTTAAATATTTTTGTGATGAAAACATGTTGGTTGGTGTTATGCACTATAAGGGTTGGAGGATGAGCAACATACAACCAGCTTAGCAGAATGAAGAACAATGTCTTTTCTGAAGAATATCAAGGTTCCTTCTTTCATGAAGCAAACAAACCTAAAGATGAGCATTAGAAGATATTCATAGTACATGGAGTCTCTAGAAGAAAAAGAGAAGCAAGTGATACTTTTGTAGTCTTAGCTGAACTAAATAAATATACTACTGTCTAGTATGATATTTATCATTGTAAATGGTTTTGACATAGTGCCAACTTAGATTTAGATTGATAAGTTTGTTTATTATGAGTATATATTAAAATTGTGGTTGTTGAATAGGTAACACATTATAATAGATTTATTAATGTAATTGTTTAAGAGTTTGTTAAAGAAAGAGTTGTATTTGTTTCTTTGAATTCTATTTATAAAAGATAATTCTTACTATTTGAAAATTTGACAACTGTATTTGATATTTATCAACTATATAGAACTTTTAATTATTGAGTGCATACGAAAAATCACAATTTTTTTTTTGTAAAATAAAAAATTACATACGGATTTTTCCGTATATAATTACATATAGATTTTTTTTATGTAATTATATACGGATTTTTCTGTATATAATTACATACGGATTTTATATACGGATTTTTCCGTATGTAAATTATATACGGATTTTTTCGTATGTAAATTATATACGGATATATCCGTATATAATTTAGCTACACCTTTTTTATATATGGATTTTTGACCGTATATAATCCGTATGTAATATCATGTTATATACGGATTTTTGACATTATATACGGATTTTGGCTGTATGTAATTGGAATTTTTCTTGTAGTGTTAGGATGTCTGAAGTTACTTATTTCATATGCATGAAATGAGTGTGGTTGTATGTTATACTAATGTATGAATCTTTTTATATCTACCTTACCCTTCTATTTGTGCTTGTCTTTGTATGTGGCTATGTTCCTTTTTTGGCTATGATCATCCTGTGGGTGTGAGTAGAGAGAGACGAAATCTCTGTGGAGCAGGCGCTTGATGGGGAAGATCATGTTGTTTAGTTATTTCAGACTAGTTTTGTATATAGTTTTGTTTTATCCAGTTTGTATATAAAGTTTCAATTTATAGTTGTTTTAGATAACTGTAAGTTAAACTTTATATCATAGTTAACTACTCTATCATATCATATTTGTGACCATTCTTTGATATGGTTTAATACTATATTTTGGAATGTTAACGTTAACAACTATTGTTCCAGAATATTTGAGTCAATATATTTTTTCCGCTTTTAATTTTTTTCTTCCACTTTTAACTAAAGATATAATTTCTAACTTGAGTTCATTTTAAAAGTTTAATTTCTTGTATTAGCGTATTTTTTTTCTCACTTGAATGTCTGTTAGAACTTCAAACGAAAAGAGGTTAAAAAATATATTTTATTACAAGTGCTAGAACTAAAATGTATTTACCCTGAAAATACAAACACATGTCACTAAAAGTCTCACAAATTGATTCCATACCAAACTATAATTCACACAAACAAAACAAAACTAAAGGTTTGTTGTCTTAATCAAAGAAACACATTAATAACAAAATACTGATAGATTAATATTATTTTTATTATTATTATTATTAATACAATACTATTCATAAATATATTATCAGAGTACATAAATATAATACAATCATTTTCGCGAAAAATAAACTAAAAATTATGCAAAATTCTAATAGTTGTGCTTGAAAATATTAATCAATACACAAGTTAAGTCTGGAGCATAAAAAGAAAAATGCACAACAGATAAAATTATAATTCATATAAAGCACGTTAAATTAATTATCAATGTGCAATACATTAAAAAATTGTTTTGAAAAATGTCAAGCCGGAATTCTAAGAGTATACAATTAAAATAATATGTATTTATAGTTAAAACTAAAAATGTCTAGAACATCTAAATTTATCAAACAAACATATTTAATAACAGAATTAATTAATAAACTTCTTTTATTAGGATTTTAATAAAAAGCATTTTGTTATTTAATTTTATTTTCAATATATAAATGTTATTTTTAGCTTCTTATCTTGACATATGAGTTGGTTTCTAGGATAATTTTAAAGGGTGTCGTTTCATTGTTTATACTTAATTTGCTTTTAGTTATACAATTAAACGACAACTTTTAATTCCTCAATTTTGTATTGTTAATTATAAAAACCTTTAAAGAATGAAATAGTGTTTTTGCAGTTATTTTTGGTCTTCAAAGTTTATTAGGTTTTTTTTTTAACATTGTTCTTTTCCTTTATATTTTATAGGGTTCTTTTGTTTTCGTGTTTTTTTTTTTCAATACCTTCAGTGTATAAACATATATTATTATCTCCATATTTGATTTTTATTAAAAATATTCATGTCTCTATCTTTAATGGCCAATTTAATAAATTATTTTAGTTTTATTCATGTTTTTATAAGAGTAATTGATTGATACAAGTTTTAGTCTTAGATTTGGTTTTGAATTTGATACGCTAGAAGATGCATGAAATATCTATGGTGGTAGTAAAGATTTTGGAGTTAGAAACCACTGTAAAAATATTTTTTTAACAACTTTTTTTTTTTTTACAACATTTTGATAATTTACTAATGATTTGTGATTGATTCGTTTTAAATATTTTTAAAAATAAATTCAAACAGATCAATAGAATAATGACATCCGATAGTTGTGAAAAAATTGTTGTGAAAAAATTGTTATGAAAAAATTGTTAGGTCCAAAAGAACAATGAGTCTATTATTTCTTACATATATGTTTGTTACAAGGAATGTAAAAAGTAGATAAAAGAGACTTTAAGACCGTTAATCATCAACCTGTTGCAAGAATTAAAGAGTTAAAAGAATGAAAGATAGAGTAGTTGATTTTATTCATAATCATATCATTACCCACTTCATCCACCAAAGACAATTCATCTATTAGTTTCTTAACTAAATATAACAAATTGTAAAGCTTATGATCTTGAAATGGCAGAACATGCAGAGATTCAACAAAAAGAGATCATTTGATTTGATGAGTAAATGTGTAGGAGGTAGAAAGAATTTGGGTTATACAAGAGAAGATGCTAAGAATTATCTAAATTCAAAGAGGTAGAGAATGTATATTAAAGAGGTGGACATGCACGAAGTGATACCATGAATGATCATACTGGAAAGCTAGTTAATATTAATCATAGACAGGAAAGCTCAAAACAATGTAAGTAACTATGTTCAAGATTTTTAAGATTAGCTCATGATATATCAGATTATCCTTTGTTTCAAAAGCCATTAATGTATACACCACAATCAAAGGCCAGACAAATTCCTGCAAAGCTTCAATAACAAAGGCAGCATCCAACCAATAACAGCATCCAAGGTTACCTCAACCAGACAAGCTAAAACATCGTTGTTGAGTTGCTAAAATATAGTTGTTGGGTGAAAAAAACATATATTATATATCTATTAGTCATTTAAGAACGTCCTTGTAACAAAAGAGTTTTAGGTTGTATGTTATATAAATGACACTGCATAAGGATTCAAGTTGTTATCAATAACCTTTGTTTTAACCTTAAACAACGGCCAAATATACAACACTGCATAAGAATCAGACTTACCAATCATCTCCATATTATTTAGATCATTGGCTTTCAGTACTTTCACTCTAAGCGTTCCCTGGGTTAGGCTCCAAGTCATTGCAAAAAAACAAAGGTGATTAAATAGAATAAAATATTTTGTACTTACTTATTATTATGTAACATATCATGTTTCTTTTCCCTTATTAAACTCTTTATTACGCAATAATTGTCTAACAAACCTCTTTTGTCTTTTACCGAATAGCAGGTATTTGTAGAAGATTTTTTTACGCTCAAGTTAGTATTTAGATTCTGGTTAAATTTGGATTTATGCAAAAAAGCAAAGTCAAAATATAATTAAAATAATACTTATAGACATATTTTACTAATCATTGACTCATCTAAATGAACCACAATTATGAGCCATGGACCCATACGCCTAATAGTCAATTTACTTGTGAAAAACTGTATCTATTTTTTGACTATAAGTTATTCAACGCAAGAATGTTTCCAAAAGACACAAGGAGATACCACTAGATGGTATCTAGTTCTGCTAGGAACGTGGTTATCAGAAAATGGATGCAAACTTTGATTTGGGACAGCATGATACTCACTATCCGATGTTTGATTTCCTACAATTGATTGTTGAACTTGTCCTTTGACTAAATTATTCTATGTACTTGGTCATCCATCAGTTGTACTGTTTTAAATAACTTATTTTAAAGACTAAAGTTGGAGTTGAAAATAGGACTGATTTTATTATATTCAATCATGAAAAATACATTCTCATATACTCTATTTGTAATAATCTAATTATCTTAAAAAGATAAATAGGGAAACTAGGAAAACAAAATAAATTAGAAAATTATATATCTATTTTCTCTAATTAGAAAGATTCTAAAGATACCTTCTCTAATTACAACACTCCCCCTCAAGTTGGTAAATGAATATCAATCATTCCCAACTTGCCTACAAGATCTTGAAATCTACCTGGAGGAAGCCCTTTTGTAAAAATATTTGCTATTTGAAGTTTTGTAGGAACATGAGTTGTAATCACAAAGCCTCTGTCAATATTATCTTTGATGAAATATCTGTAAATCTCAATGTGTTTGGTTATGTCATGTTGTACTGGATTATGGGCTATGGTCATGGCAGACTTATTGTCACGGTGTAGTTGCACCGGATTCTCCACTTTGATTTTAAGATCATCCAAAATGATTTTCATCCAGAGTCCTTCATACATTCCTTGAGCAAGAGCTCGAAATTCAACTTCTGCACTAGAACGGGATACTCTATCTTGTTTTTTGCTTCTCCATGTTACTAGATTATCTCCATGAAATACACAATACCCAGAAGTAGATTTTATGTCAGTAATAGAACTTGCATAGTCAGCATCAGTATATATCTTCATAGTCAATGTGTCTTCCCTTTTGAATGATAGCCCCTTTCCTGAACTTGACTTAAAGTATTGGAGAATTTTGTCAATTGCTTGCATGTGTCTCTCTCTTGGATCATGCATAAATTGGCTCACTACACTAACTACATAAACAATGTCTGGTCTTGTGTGGGATAGATAAATCAATTTTCCTACCAATCTCTGATATTGAGCTTTCTCTACAGGAGCACTTTCTTCACTTCCAAATATGTGATTCTGTTCTATAGGAATTGTTGAGGTTCTACATCCCAGCTTTCCTGTTTCTTTGAGGAGATCAAGTACATATTTCCTTTGGGAGATGAAAATTTCGTTCTTGGAATAGGAGACCTGTATTCCAAGAAAACATTTGAGTTTTCCTAGGTCTTTCATTTCAAATTGAGTTATCAATTT